AGCCAATGTACTATTTTTTTCCTGCTTTTTTCTTGACTACAAAATTGAATAAGCTTAACTTCATTTGTCTTTGATAAGAAATATTAAACAGGAAAAGGCTAAAGATAAGCCTGTGATTAAACCCTAGTGATTCTCTCCCAGGATGGCAAAGCTGCGCTAATCTTAGAACATAAGTGGGAGAGCAGGTCCATAGCTCTTGCAGTCAGTACTATATTCTCAGAGTACAGCACAAGCCCAAGAAATACATGTTGAACAAATGACCAGCTATGAAAAATAAACTGTCTCTGATGGATCAGCCAATTTTGAAACCATCTAGGCACTGTCATTGGACTCACATTTTCCATTTTGTACAGAACTGCCTGCTTCAGAGAAGCTTAATTCTTGAGTGTTATCTTAAACTTCCCTAGATCTTTGTGCCAAAGTATCTCTTTGAATATGGGGATGGGGTTAGATGAAATATTCTTAGTGAATCTCTGCTGGCTCCTGATGTCATTGTATTTGTGTATAAGTATTCACTGATGTTTATAGAAGCTCAGCAACATATTCAGGGTTATTTAGAATATAAACTCATTCACATTATTCCCCTCAGTAATTCCTCTATTTCTGAAAAGTATACATGGGAGAGAAGACTAGTTGAAAATTGGATGAGAATCACAAAAAAGCTGGGCATGATTTGCTTGGAGAGTGAATGGTGTTTGCATGTAGGATTTCCTTCCTTTTTTTTTAAGCTTCTGGTGTAGCTTTGACAGCTCTTCATCCCTGAAGAAGATCAAAGGTGCTCCACTACATGGAGAAAAGTATGAAGATGCCAGGCCAGTGAGATAACAAGTTAGGAAGAGTGTGTGTAGTGCAGTGGTTACAGACCCCACTTAGGGGCTGAGGACAACTGGATTCCCAGCCCTGCTCTACTGGCTGTGAGACCCTGACTAAGGAGTGGGTTTCCAAATCTCAGTCTCCTAAGCTGGGAGATAAATGTTGTAGTAATGATGCCTACCTCATAGGTTGCTTTAATCATCAAACAATGGAAATAAGAAAAGTACCTATGACAGTGCCAGGACCAAGCTATTACTAAATGGGCTATTACTATGGGCTATTACTAAAATGATAGAGGGGAATGTGAAGAAGTTGGGTAAGGTAGAAAGCAAGTTCGTTCTTTTTTTTTTTTTAATTTTGGTATCATTAATGTACAATTACTTGAACAACATTATGGTTACTAGACTTCCCCTATTATCAAGTCCCCCCTACATACCCCATTACAGTCACTGTCCATCAGCATAGTAAGATGCTATAGAATCATTACTTGTCTTCTCTGTATATTTTTTTTTTTTTAATTTTGGTATCATTAATGTACAATTACTTGAACAACATTATGGTTACTAGACTTCCCCTATTATCAAGTCCCCCCTACATACCCCATTACAGTCACTGTCCATCAGCATAGTAAGATGCTATAGAATCATTACTTGTCTTCTCTGTATATACTGAAAGTAAGTTCTTTCTAATGTAAACTTTGCTTTGACAAAACAAAGCATATTTCATTTTTAAGCATTATTAAATTAGGCAAATATAGCAGTTACAGTTCATTCAGTAAATAAATTTGATGTCCTGTTGTGCATCCAGCTATGTGCTTCAAAGTAAGAAGTTAAGTCTTATCAAATCTTCACAATTCTTAAAGTACCTTGATGCCTCACACCTCCATTTGAAATATCTCACCTCAGTTTGAAAAGGTTAATGTATTTTCTTGTACTCCAGTTTCTAGAAGTACCTAGTGTAGGACTTCTGACAGTGCACATCATTCCTGATTGTGTAACAACTGGGGGGCAGAAGAGACGATCATGGGAGGGGGAGCATGTGTGTGGAGGAGGAAACAAAAAGGTCTGCATTTGACATTGTAGACCTCTTACCAGTAGTCCCTGTGGGCTTATGTGTGCAGGGTAATAGAACGTAGGAACTTTGAGATGCTCGAGGAAGCAGTCCTTGGACTATAACGAAAGCTTCCTGATTTGGAGGGAGAAGGTAGATCAACTGGGATTTGTTATAGAGCGTAAGGTGTCAGACACAGAGAGCTAGTAACAGGCTTTGTAAATGGAATGAGTGTAAGCAAATAAGAGTGAAAGGGAGCATATAGTGGACTTGAATAGTAGTAATGGTACCATCTACTTAGCTTTTAAGCGTGCCAGCCCCATTCTAAATGTTTACTGTGTTATTTCATGAAACGTAGTTTCTGACTGACTAGAATCAGATGGGGTGGCCTGAGGCTCTGCATTTCTAACAAACTCCTGGGTGGTGTCCCTGCCGTGCACTATGATCAGTGAGGGTCTAGAGCAGCACATTGGAATCACCTAGAGAGCTTTAAAGATATTGTCCCCTGAATGAGCCTCACCATCCTTTGAAACTCTCAGTCTTGAGTACAAGCTGGCATCCAGCGTGTTTTGAGTTCTCCAAGAAATCATAATGTGCAGCAAAGTTTGAGAATGACTGGGTTAAGAAAAAAAAGGGAGGTGTGAAGTTGTGGCCAGACATGACTGGATGTGTTTGTTTCTAATAATCAGAAGAGGTTGGAATGGTAGTTTTGTATTGCCTTGTTTATGAGTTAATGTGTTTGGTTTAAGAGGGTGCTACTAGGGAAATTCTCTTCAAGGACGTGAATTGATACATGACTCTCCTCCCCGCTTTATAAGGAATAGGACATTATTAATGTGGGTAATTATTATTTGCATGAAACTCAATGTGCACAGGACCTATTTTAGGTGATTAGCATTTCCACCCCTTTGTAGTATTGTTTTTTTATGTAGAGGAAAAGTCGGAATGTGGCCCAACTGGAAGTAACTTATAAATATCTTTAATAGTTAGCACATGTTTTCTCCTTCTGTGACCCTGAATTTAGCATGTTCAGGCTTAGAATTTCATTGATTTTTTTTTTTTTTGCTTTTTCCTGTCTGATCCTTTTAAAATGAATATGATCAGAATCACTGTAGCCTATTATAGTGAGGCTTTGAATTGGAAGATAGCTGGAGGAAAATAAACAGAATCTAACAGAAATTCAGTTTACTTCAGGATTCAGTTTATTCTTGGGAATATTTCTTAACATATTCAGTGGATAAAAGCACATTACCACACCATTTGCCCAGTATTCAGATACCCATCAAGCACCTGCTGTGTGCTAGGCTCCAGGATGTGGCTGTGAACAAGACAGGCAAGATCTCTCTCACAAATCTCACATTTCTATCACGGGAACAGACGATAGACCAAAAAAAAAGGAAAAAAAATCCTGGTACGGTTAAATGCTTAGATGAGAGTAACAAGGGCTATGGTAGAAAATGGGGTCGGGAACCACCTGAGATGAGGGTCAGTCAGGGAAGGACTCTCCTAAATGACATTTCGCTGAGACCGAAAGCATGAGGAGGAGTCCCCTTTCCCAGAACCAGCTTTTGAGTTTGAGGGAGACCAAGTGCAGGAAGAGTCGGACACATCCACAGATCAGAAAGGAAGCCACTGTGGCTAAAACAGGGATGGGAGGAGTCAGTGGCCACAGAGGAAGTGGGGGATTGTCTATTCCTGAGGAGAGCAACTTGAAATTCATCAGAAATGTTAGATTATCTTTGAGCTCTTAACTGTCTTCTTGCTTTGTTTTTGCTTTCACAGTTCTCTACTGAACATATATTACATTTGCAATTGAAAAACTTTTGTATTTTTAAAAATAATTGTTTGATTTCCCTTTTCAGAAAATTACTAACATTTTCACACCTCTGGAAAGAAATTTCAGGTTATTTTGGCTTAAATAATTATGCCATTGTAATACCTCTTTTTTCTGTTTCTTTGAGCCCTTGCATGTGAAACTGATTCCTTCAAACCACCCAACAACCACTTTATTTTTTAGTGCCCAGCATGTTTTTGATGCAAAATAAAAAGGTCTCCATTTGCATGAATTATTAGTTATTATTTATTACTGTTGTTAATAACTCCAGTTTTAGGTTTTGAGAGTGGAAATCTTGAGTCTTTCTGTGTAAAGATAGTTAAGGCTGTGATGCTTCTCTGTTTCTGTCGAGATTCAGTGGTTGCAAGAAATTAAAACCTACTTAGAGCAGCTCTGGTCAAGAGGGATGAAGGTAGACTCCCTATGATAGGAAGGGTGGTGGCCAAGAATGTGAGATCTGGACTCTGGTTTCGTTTTGTCTCTACCCCTTACAAGCCTGTGACTTTGAGCAAGTTATTGACTGTCCATAAGCCCTTTTGAGGTCTCTGTAACACCTGTAGATAAGACAGATGCAGTCATAAAGTTGCGGTGCTTACTGACTTAGATGCCGATTCCTTCTCTGAGGATGGATGGTGATTTCATTTGATGGTTCAAGCACTGGCACACTTAATAGTCTAGAAGCTGACAACCTGTGTTGTCTCTGGAGGTTTTCTGGGCTTTTCTGTTAGTTGAGATGTTTCTTCAGCTGTTGCAGATCAACCATCAAATCAACAAGTAATTACTGGTGGCCTAGCTGTGCGCCCAGCACTGTGGTAGGCTTGTGGGGTAGAGCAGATTGTTTGCCTAAATTACTTAGAATCTAGTTGCTGAATGCATGTGTAGTTAATATAAACGTAAGTGTATCTTTCATAAAACGGAAATTATTTTTGTTATAAATATAGTTTATTTCTTGACAGTGCTGTGTGACGTTATTATTTAAGAAGTCAGTAATAAAATAATAGTCTGCTTACCTGTTGGGCCTTTTTATATTTTTCTCTTCATTGATTGTTTTAAGTTCTTTCTGTCCCTCCTCTGGGACATGGGATTTAGAACAGTGTCAGGATTCACAAAGCCTGCTGCTCAGCCATCCTAGGAGGCCTGCGCTGGGAGACCAGCTGCCCTGTGCTCCCCCTGTTGGAATGCGCCAGTCCAGAGCTCAGGCCAAGCCAGTTTGGTTATGTAACATCAGTGTGTGTTTGTCCCCATTCCTAAGTGCTACATGCCTAACATCAGAAACTGACCTTTCTGTGTTGTTTTGTTTCAGGTATGTGTCTTACAGGCAGTATACGGCAGAACGCCAAGCCAGTCTGAGAATTCCTGTTAAGTTGGTGAGTTTCCATTTATATTTACTCTGATGATACACTGAAATTTATTTCTGCCATCTTTTGTGTTTCTATTTGCTGTGCATTTTCTCTGCTTTTTTCATTTTCTCCTACCCTCTATTGAATTGACAGCTTGCTTGTTTCTTTTTTTCTCAGTGTGGAAGGTAGAATTTTTTATATGTATTCTTTCAGTGAATTTTTTTGCACAATGTTAAAGTTTATTACTCTCCTTATTCCTCCTAAATTAGGTAAGAATGTTAATATATTTTCATTTTCTTATATTTCTTTCATGCTATTCCTTCCTCCTGAGTTCACCTTCCTTCATACTAAAATAATTCTTTGGTATTTCTTTCAGCTAGAGTTTGTGGACTCTGTAAGCCCTAGTCTCTTTGAAGGTGTCTTTATGTCACCTTCACTTCACTTGAACTCTCTAAAATTCATCTGTAAAATAGGTACAATAAAACCAGCTGGCCCACTACATAGGGTTGGGGGGTGGGGCGCGGGACTAATAATTCTTACTGTGAGCACCATATAAACTGTTTTATAAATAGATGTGTGTGTATACACATGTATATAAAATGCTATTATTATTAAGTAATGTAAATTGTGTTACATTTATATTAAAATTACTGTATTTGAATGGATTTTAAAGATCATTCTTTACTGTGTTGAGCTAATATTTACTGAAATAATAGAAAATAATACTTAATGGAAATATCATGAGCTGTACACAGTTGCACTTTGGGAGAAGAGCTGGGATAGGATGAAACTCGCTGCTAGTGTAGGGTTAGTATTCAGTGAAGTTTTAAGATATGCAAGCACAAAAAGAAAAAAGAAAGAAGAAAGATATATTCCAGAAGCCCCACAGACTGGAAACCATTGATATATTGGGATATATCCTTCCAGACATCTTGCCCCACATATATGGCTAAATATATTTATAGATGCTTATCTTTTCATCTTTCAAAATGGATCATATCAAATATGCAATGTTGCAACTGCATTTTTCATTTACTAATATATGAAGGGAATATTGATAAGCATCATTGCGTACAATGAATGCATGTATGCTGTTGTTTATGGCTGTATCATAATTTTGTTTAACCAGTTCCCTGTTCAGAGACATTTTAATCAAAATTTTTCATGTTACAAATTATGCATAGTTACCTGATTCTTCCTTTAGGATAAATTGCTAATATACCTTGGGTATTTGTGGGTAGAGATGGAGGTTCAAAGGGGAAGGAATGAGTTTGGAAGTGGTAGTTGGCAGTTGCATATCAGGGTTACCTTCTGTGAATGTGGGTATGGAATAGACAGTGAAGGAGAGGATACCAGCAGAGTGACTCTTAAAAGTGTTATATTTCACTTCTTTTAGTGACACCTGAGTTCTTTATCCAGGGAAGTAGAACTGTGGTAAGGTGACATAAAACACCATATGTTTTAAGTCTTTTTCCATGATGAAGCCATGAATTCTATGAATTCTGTGACTAATGGTATTTTTTTATTTTAACATACATTCCTAGTTGAGATAGGAATTGGAGCGGGGCTGAGGGGTCGTTTCCCTTCCCCTCTTTGACCTCTAATACCTTGGCTCCTAAGTAAATGCTGTTATGTTTCTTATGTATCTTATAGAAACTACGAGCATTATTTTTGACAATTATTTACTATTGAATATTCAGTGGGTGAAATTGAAGGCTTTCACTCAGAAGAAATCAAGAAAAAGGTAAGAAATAAAAATATAGTTATATTCTTTTCTTCAAGTAGTAAGAATTCATCAAGATTATTTCTTTAGGGTAATCTCTTTTGACAGTAAAAGTCAATTTGGAGAGTAAAAGCAGAATGAGTTGAACACAGCTGGTGAAAACAGCCTGTTTGTTTAATACTTAACACTGGCTGGGTGCTCAGCATGCATAATGAATTCATTAATCACTCATTCATACCAAAAGATAAATAATGTATCCACTCGCTGTGGCTGGTAAATGACAGAGCTGGGGTGTGGATTCTGTTTCTCCATGTTGTGGGTAACCTAATCTGTTCTGGTCAGGCCTTGAAAGGCCTTTCCCTGCTTTTGAACTATGGAGTTCCTCTTTTTTTTTTTTTTTTTCCCCAGCTGCTGCTGCTTTATTTTCTTTGTGGCCCAGAAGCAATAGCACAGCCACAGCCACATTTTTTTACATTTAGAAACCATGGCTTATAGGATACATATACAGTAACTTCTGTCACAAGATTTGCTGTTGTGAGTTCTTCCCATTATTGAAGAGTAGCAGAGTCCCCATTGCCTATGTGCAGTTATAAATGGTGCCCTTACTCAGCACGCTTTTCTTCTGTTTGTCCAAAATTTGTATAACATGCTAAAGTTCGTCAGAACAAAACAAAATTGCCATTTGGCAACTGTTGTAATAAACATATAGGTTGTCAATTGCTGAGATGTAAATGGAGCTCCCTAAGGTTGTGCAAGGTCTAGTACCCAGATGAGAAGATGAAAGAAAATGTTAGTTATTAATTACTTCTTGTTCTAGGTTTGTTCTGTTTCAGGTTTTTCTGGGAGTTAGTGTAAAGTAAGGGGGAGGAGGAGAATGGGGGTGGGATAGACTGACCTGCATTTGATCTTCATACACGTGGAAGGAGCATATCAAACAAGTCGGTTGTCTTCACTCCTGCTGTGGTCTCTCTGTGTTGCACTTTGACTGTTGTGAGAAAAATATTCTTTGCCAATGAAATCATAAAATATAAGTGGAGAGGCAAGACGACAGATACATGAAACCAAATTGGAGAGTTTGCCAAAACATTCCATTGTATTGTATGCTTAAAATATGAAAAAAATTTTCTATCTTAGAGATAGGAAAGATTATTGTGGCTAGATGTAATCAGGGCAGGTAAGGTATAGCCAGAGGGAGAGGAAAGGAGTCTTGAGATCCTGTCATTTTCATATGAGTCTAGAGACCAAAGAGCTTTGTGTCCAAAAACCTTAATTGATCCAACATAGAACCCTTGTTAGACCAGCCTTCCCATATGATGACATCAATTGTACACGTTCATTGCATTCTGGGCTCCCGGGGCCCTCTGCCGAGATGGCTGTGAAAGAGAGGGCACTGTCAGAAGCCTCCTTAGCCTGCTGCTTACATTGCTGATCTATCCCTTGCTCTGCAGTTCCTTAGCATTAGAAGTAAACACTCTGTATGTACTACACAGCCACACCATGGTTACTTGTTATCTTGGGACTTTCTTCTACTTCGTCACCTACTTCCTTGGTCTCCTCAGTGCCTGGCATAGTCTGTAGACGTAGAAGAGCTAGTATTCACTTTGTACTTGTACGTCTTCAGAATGAGGCCTGTGATGGTGGTGCCAGGTAAGCCCTGTGAGATCCTACTGGTGAAACAGCCTCACCTTGGGATCTGCAGCAGAGCTGAGGCGGAGACTGTCCGTCCTTTCCAAATATTCTGTTTTCACATCTCAGCTGGAGGTTCTGTGTAAAAGCAAGAATTCTAGGATGTTCCATGCCATGTTTCTGATCTGATACAGGATTTCTGGGCAGATTAGAAGGGAAACACATGAAGACTCAATACCACAGACAGGCTTGTCATTTAAGCACTTGCCATCCAGACTGAGCATTGAGTCCAGCCATTAAAGTAAAAAGGGGCTGGGCATAGTTTTGGGCAAGAAAAAGCTATTTCATATTCTTGAGCCTTTAAAAACTCCAGGGATGTTTTTAAGCATTTAAAACTCCTATTTGTGTCTAGAGCACTCATCTTTTGGGTGAAGAATCTCCACCTTCATCTCATCTCACATCAGCAGGTTACCATGAATAATTGTAGCTGCTGGGTTTCTCTTACTCCAGATTTACTAGAATCCACATCAGATTCACATAGCTGAGAAAGACCCTTGGTTTATTTGGACATGTTGCTGGTAATATCTCCTTACATTAAATTCTTTACTTCTTTTTCATGGTTGTAAGAAAGAGAAGCAGTTTTTTGTTTTTGTTTTATTGTAGATTTATTTTTTAACCTGTCATTACTTATCATCTTCTGTCCCTCTGGACATCCAGGACAAAATCATATTCCAAAAGTTATTCTGTTGAATAAGAAGTACTAATTTTCCCAAGATAATCGAGGATATGTTTTTAACCTTAGTCTTGGTGTAAAAAGCTAAAATGTCCTTTTGGTTATTTTCATCCATTTGCTTATAGTTGAATGAAGTTAACTAGATTCAGGTCAGGATTTTGGGTTTTGCTTTGGCACTTTGGTTCTCCACTTCCTTCTCCTTCAGAGATAACCAGGCATCCTTTGAAAATGTGTTTTGGGTGGTGGAATACTAACCAGGTATTTGACGAATCTTCCAGAACCTGAGGCACACGGGCTCCTGGGCTGCTGTGGATGGCCTTGGCTCTCCTGACCACTCTTCCCAGTAGGATGTCCCTGAGATCCCTCAAATGGAGCCTCCTGCTGCTATCACTCCTGAGCTTCCTCGTGATGTGGTACCTCAGCCTGCCCCACTACAATGTGATAGAACGTGTAAACTGGATGTACTTCTATGAGTATGAGCCAATTTACAGACAAGACTTCCGCTTCACACTTCGAGAGCATTCAAACTGCTCTCATCAAAACCCGTTTCTTGTCATCCTGGTGACCTCACACCCCTCAGATGTGAAAGCCAGACAGGCCATTAGAGTAACTTGGGGCGAAAAAAAGTCTTGGTGGGGATATGAAGTTCTCACATTTTTCTTACTGGGCCAACAGGCTGAAAGAGAAGACAAAGTGTTAGCCCTGTCCTTGGAGGATGAACACCTTCTTTATGGTGACATAATACGACAAAATTTTTTAGATACATATAATAACTTGACCTTGAAAACTATTATGGCATTCAGATGGGTAACTGAGTTTTGCCCCAATGCCAAGTACATCATGAAGACAGATACTGATGTTTTCATCAATACTGGCAATTTAGTGAAGTATCTTTTGAATTTAAACCACTCAGAGAAGTTTTTCACAGGTTATCCTCTAATTGATAATTACTCTTATAGAGGATTTTTCCAAAAAACTCATATTTCATACCAGGAGTATCCCTTCAAGGTGTTCCCTCCCTACTGCAGTGGGTTGGGTTACATAATGTCCAGAGATTTGGTGCCAAGAATCTATGAAATGATGAGTCACGTAAAACCCATCAAGTTTGAAGATGTGTATGTTGGCATCTGTTTGAATTTATTAAAAGTGGACATTCATATTCCTGAAGATACAAACCTTTTCTTTTTATACAGGATCCATTTGGATGTCTGTCAACTTAGACGTGTGATTGCAGCCCATGGCTTTTCTTCCAAGGAAATTATCACATTTTGGCAGGTTATGCTAAGGAACACTACATGCCATTACTAATCTGACATTCTACCAAAACTCTAGAGATGGACAGGATACTTTGTGGGAAGTGTTAAAGTTGGTACTGCAAACTCTCCAGTGGAAAAGTCCTGGGAAGGTCCCTGTGCTGGCTTACACTGACCTGAAACTCAGAGAACCCGTAAGCTAGAGATTACACTTTACTTGCGGGTTATTTAGACAGAAATCAAGTCAGACCCTTTAAAGATACTATGCAGAGGAATTAAACATCTTATAAAGGAATTGGAAGTCCTTGTTAATAAAGCAATTAGGACCCAACAATCTGAACATGTCCTTCAATAGACTAGAAGAACTTCTTAACAGGGTTTCATTGAATTATAAGCTCATTAGTCTGTAACTACAAAGCAACATGGAGTTCTATTCATTGAACAATCTATGTCAGTTAAGGGTTTTGTGTATATCTTATGTGGATTACTGGTTTTTAAAAATATGTAGTTCTGTGTAAAGTTACACTGAGCAAAATTTCATCTGTTTTTGGTCATTTCAGAAGGTCATTCAGCAGCATTTCAGTGTTACTAGTTATTTTTTAACATCACGTAGTACTCTTCCTTGTCTTTGGTGAATGTCATGGTTGTTTCAGTACTGTATAAATGGAATAGTGAATTACCCTTTGCATTTGAACTTTGTTTCCAGTTACTTTTCTGATGAGTTTATTTTCAATAGCTCTGTTGATGTAAAGTCATTGGTTTTATGGCATGTCGGTAATCTCTTGGACTTCTATAAATATTTCACCGTGGTAAAACAGAGAAGAATTAAAGCAAGAAGATCTGAATTACTGTCTTGTTTTTAGATGTCACTTCATCTGACTCATTTTTGCACCTGGAAATTAGGAATAATGCAAATGTCAGGCAAAGGATCTCCTTTTGGAAAGGACTGTGAAGTGAAAAAAGAAAAGAGAGAATCTGATGGCCAGAATATAATGAAAAGGATGTCATGTTACAGTGCTTGAGTTAGAAAGTGAGCATGTTATTAGTCTGCTCCATGTATTTTTCTCATTAAAAGTTGATTTGAGAATAAAGAGGAAGAAAAGTGAGAAATGCTGCTGCTATTGTTACTAGTTTCATATCAAGACGAAAGCCCTAATATGTGGTCTAAAATCAAGTCTGATTTCCAGGCCATGTGGAAAGCACGTTTCTTCATAGAGGTGATGTTGGTCGAAGAGCAGTGCTGCCTGCTGCCATGCTCTGGGAACTGTGCAGTTTCCCGTGGTATCTGATGCGGGACAAGTGGTTCCTTTTTTCTGGATTACATGATGGCAAAAGATTAAATTTAATGGCAGAAAGTATAAACGAGAGTATATAGTCAGCTCTTCCTGTACTCAAAATACTTACGATTCTACTCTAAGAAAAGCCTAGTTTTGATCAGAACCACTCTGTGTGATTGTCTTCTCATCCCCATTGCACACCTGTGGTTGCCAGCCTTGCCTGTGATCTGATGCTCGTATCCTCATCTCAGGACCCTGGCAGAAGGGCAGCTCCTGTCTGAGACATGCTGTTCTTTTACAGAGGAGGAAAAGAGCGAGTAGAAACACGCTGGTGTGCTGTACATCCGGTGACCAAAGCTAATCCCAGGCTGAGCCTCTGTCAGTGGTAGAGGGACGGGGAGTGTGTTCTCCGCACAGGACATGGTGCCAATCGTGTTGTGGCAGACAGGAGTGCATTGTTTACCAGACGGGGAATGAATAGCTGAGTGGAGTAATACTGCCACACGTAGTGTGTAATGGAAAAGGAGGCTAAGAGATGTGCAATTCTGAGGCTGGCCCGCGTGGGGCAGCTTTTCTGGTTCACTTGAGGCTGGTGCTGTGAGCCCTTCCCTGAGAAGACTGCCCTTTCATCTCTGTTAATCTTTCTTTGGCTCTCTCCTAAATGGTCTTGGCATTACCATGTTCCCACCAACTTGCCAGATGTAGAGCTATTTATAACAACTATTTCTGAGTGAGTTTGGGGATGAAACCCTTTTCTTTGGGATCTAGTAGACAGTTACTGCAGGATAGAGGGAATAACAGAAGAATTGGAAGGGGGCCAGCTTTTAGAACGGGAAGAGTGAGTATGAAAAATGTGACCGGCCCATCCTGCTAGTTTTGGAGTTTTCCTATCCTTTAATCCACCGGGAATCAATCTTTATGTTGAAACTCCTCTGGATTTTGTGTGCTTTGAAGACCAGCTCTCACTGGGACCCCCTCACACTCATGATCAGCTCCTTGGTTGTCCCACCAAACCTCCAAGGCGTCCATCAAAGTAGATGGCCTGTGCTGGCGGGAGTGTTGGTGGGGGATGGAGCAAGCATGGGAAACAGGCCCTCAGAGCCAAGGGGCAGTGTAGGCAGGCTCTGGACAGCATTTGCGCCCAAAGGAAGGGCCATCTCATGAGTCGTTTAAGGACAAAGAAGGCCCCAACAAGTATAAATACCATCACTCTATTTAAGGTAAGTAATAGAGGCCCTTGCACTTGGATAGTTTTTTTTGAGTCCCAGGTATGGTCAACACAGTCAGGTGTAGTAGTTTATGCACAATTATCAATATTCTAAGAGCTGAGAGGAATCTATACATTTACCTAAGATAAGGTTGCTTAATTGGGAGTTATTTTTGACTGATTAACAAAATAGAGAAACTAAATTAAAACTTAGTACAGAGTCATGAATGATGGTTCATTGAGGAGGGTAAAAGGCACTAGAAGGGACCTTTGGGAATTCCTCTTCTTTGAAAGGGGGGCACTTAGGTTCATCAGGGTTCTACGACTTGTCCAAGGTCATTGTCAAGCCAGGACCAGAATGTTCCAGGCTTAGCTCCACTGCTGGCTTCTTGCTGCCCCTGAGTTTGGAGCAGCACGGCAGGAACTCCCTCAGTGGAACCATAGAAATTTCCCGAAATGGCTACCTCTGACTCAAGAGGTGAGGAATTTTGAGGTGTGAGGCCGCCAAAGTGTTTAATGAAAGGTGGGGCCACTGGGCACCTTGGGGAAGAAACAAAGCCAAATCCCAGTGTAAGGCATGAGCAGGCAGCAGTGAATGGAGCACGGGCTAGTGACTCTGCAGGGGGCAAGTGCTGCCCCAGCAGTGGTAGGCTCTGTAGGACAAGTGCCTATAGCCAGGCCCCAGCAAGAGAAGACAGAGTCCTGATGACATCATACACAGCTTGCTCCTCACGCATTTCAAAATACAAGTGTATCCTCAGTGCATACAGCTAGGGAACTTGCTTATGGAAATGCCCTGGGCTGTGTGTGGGGGGGGGGGGTCCCAGGAATGTAGGATCCAGGTTGCCAGAAGGGGGCACGGATCAAGACCAGACAGAGAGCTCTGAATTCACGATCCTTGTGCCACATGTTTCCACTTGTTTCCTACAGTTTCAATGAAAAGGCATCAATTACCTAGGAAAAAAGAATACAGTGAAGTGATTGATTATTGCAACCCTTAAGCCATTTGTGATAGGGGATATATGTATTTGCCATTTCAGATCCCAATGCCAGAAACACAAAAGGGTTCTCGTGTTCTTTAGGAAGACTAAGCCAGGCTGCCTGAGCTTGAGTCAAGGCCTCTCTCATTACCAGCTCTGTGACCATTGGCAAGCAACTTAACTTTTTTTGTGCCTCAGTTTCTTTACCTACAAGAGAAGAAAATGACTTACTTCATAGTGGTGTTGACACATGGTAAGTGCTATGTAATAACTCATTACCTTATTGTTATTGATGAAAAACTGCATTTGGACTTCGAAAACAATATTTCAGAATTTGTACAGAGTACCCACACTTTGTGCTGGTTGAGAGAAGTCATTTTAAGCCAACTAAGTATGACGGAAGAGTTCTATGACTTCTGAGGCTGGGGCAAAAGAGGCCTCGCAGTGTCTGCCTTGGTCCTTGGGAACGCATGCTTCTGTAAAGAGTCCAGCCACTCTGAGCCTACTACACTGGGAAAAACGCCAAGCTAGCCATGTGGCAAGGCTGTGTGGAGGGAGACACATGGCCAGCTCTGCCTGTGCCAGGCCAGCTGAGGCATCAGCCATGTGAGTGAAGAACTAATTTTGGAGCTGAGCCTTCAGACAACTCCAGCCCCAACTGCATAAGACCCCCATGGAGAACCACCCAAGTGTTCCCCATCAACCTACAGAAACAAGAAATCTTAAATTTTGCTTTAGGCTACTAAGTTTTGCAGTGGTTTGTTAAGCATAGATAATTAAAACGTTTCTCATCAAGGATATTTCCCTTCAACTGTGGCCCTCTGTTATGGACTGAATGATGTTGACACCTAACACCTAATCCCCAGTATGATGGTACTTGGAGGTGGGGCCTTTGGGAGGCAGTTAGGTAACGAGGTCAGAGCCTTCATGAATGGGATTTATGCCCTTCTAAGAAGTCAGAATTGTTCTCTTTTTCCACCAGTGAGGATATAACAAATCCACAGTGCTGCAACCTAGAAAGGGACTTCACCAGAACCTGTCCATGCTGATACCCTGATCCTGTTCTTCCAGCTCCCAGAGCTGTGACGTGTTTCTGTTGTTTAAAGTCCACCTAGCATATGGGACTTTGTCACAGAAGCCAAAGAGGACCAAGATACCCTCATAGGCCCTGGGCCAAGACTGCTCACTTTCGGCCCTTTTCCCACATTTGCAGGTCTTTACCCCTGCTTTAGGTTATCAACAAATAATTTTCAAAATATCTTTCAATTTAGTCCTCTTTATACTTTATGGTTACCTTTAGACCATGTGGGAGGCAGGGTAGAGGTGATACTTACATTTTTCCTTTAAATAAGCCTATTCAAGACATTTCCCAGATAAAATCAACTTTACTCAAGATAAATTATGCAATTTTCCTGAAAGGTTTTGGCAGCTGCAGTGATGGTTTCAAATGCCACTCTTTCCCCTTCTTGCTACATATGTAGAAACTACAGAAATAAGATGAGAATATATCAAAATGTTAACAGGAATTGCCTCTCAATGACTCTTTCCTACCTTTAAAGTGCCTTTTGTTACTTCATTCCCAAAAACAAGGATAAGTTACTTTTATAACGTAAATGTTTTAACAAACATTAACAAATTTAAGTGAAGGTATAAAGCAGGGTCAGAGGATGTCATGGGGTTAGGCCAGTAGGGGGCAGGGTCAAATGCTGCATTTGCTGCTGGGCCACCAACCTTGTCCACCTCCCACTTTTCCCGCTAGGGAGACACTGTTCCCACCACAAGGCCACACAGCCTGTGAACCTCTCCCAGCCAGCAGGACCCTACAGAATGCCTGCTGGTGGCCTTCTGGGGGTGTTCCTCCCTAGTAAAACAAGACAAAGGAGAAAAGCTCCTTTTCTGCGATCAGATGTTCTGTCTACAATGTCGGAATCCATGGCTACCATGCAGATTTCATGAGGTGACAGCCTGAAGCTCAGGACAGTGGGCTGAGGTGGTGAGCCTGGTCCAACTCAGGGACCACATGCTTCAAGACTGCCTTTTTTGAGGTTACCGCTGTGGTGGGTTCAGTGGTCTGTTATTTCCAGCTGAGGCATCTTAACTTGGGATGCGAGGACACTTTCCCTGTCCAGGGTGAGTTGTGCCCATGGTGAGCAGGGAGATGTGAAGAGATCAATCAAACTCTCCTCTGGGACAGAACACAGACAGCTGGCTAGTGACCCAGGAGCTCTGAGGATCTAGGATTGATCTGCAGAAAGGCAGCCTGCACTGACGAGGGATCGCGAGATGCCTTCTGCCTCAGGCCCCTCTGCAGTGTGTGCTCTCCAGCTAAGGCAGCAGGGCCTGGGCTCACCTGCTGGAGCAGACAGGAGTCGAGGCCGGGCATAGCCGTGAAGAGTCTGTAAATCTCTCACCAGTGGAGTCACGTCTTCTCATTTGGGACAAGAAGAGAGGTCAGGGCCCCATTTATTTGCCTTTTATGGTTTACTCCGTCAGATCAAACCATCAGAGAAGGTTTGTTTTATGAACTTGACACAAAATAGTTTCAAGGCCTAAGGGTAACAGCATTCTCTGTATCTTCTTCATAAATGAAAAGCTGGAAAATCTCTGGCTTTTGGTAAATTCACCATGAAATGACCAGTGTTCTGGACACAGGTTGTAATAGTTCTTCCCTGCCTCAAGGCTGCTGCAGTTACTTCATTCAAAATGAAGTGTTTCAAGGTTTCAGAACAAGAACAATTGAAAAGCTATAAATAGTGGCTAATTTGGTGTTCAAAGGTCAGGCAATAATCTCACCTATATTTTAGCTCAGTGAATAGTAGGAGGGTGACAGCCTCACTTATGTTATTGGACCTTTTTTATGTACACCTTTAAAAAATGTTTCACATTGTTTTTAACCTCTCCTTCAGTGAACTTTAAAATTGAAACAAAGTAAAATTTTAAAAAGCATTATATATGTAGAAATGAAATTTTGTATTTCTTAGCTTTAAATGTAAAAGCAGGTAGAGTGGACAATTATTGTTTTGCCTGACAATCATCTTTTCCTAGAAACTCCTACTTCTGGGAAATGTCTCATCCACATAGTTAGCATACATCTCCACATTAGTACAATGTGACCCAAGCCATGAGGATTTCCCGTTAAAATCCCAGAAGCCTGCAGGCGGGTACTGGTCCACTTGACCCTACCCTCTCAAAGAGTTTAGAGTGCAAGCTCAGCAACCAAGCTAAGTCTGAGCATTGTCTCCAGTTAAGGATATATAAATCTGGAAAATTTTGGTATTAGCTGTTTATTTAAAAAATAAATTCATTTTTTTAGAACAGTTTTATGTTCATAGCAAAATGGAGAGGAAGGTATAGAGATTTCTCCTAGACTCCCAGCCCCCACATCACACAGCCTTCCTGGCTCTCCACACGCTGGTGGGCCCGAGACTCTATAGGCTTTTCCTCCATTCAGACCTTACAGGAGACTGCAAGGATTCTCATGGATGCCAACCCCAGAATGGCCTCACTACCAAGCAGGCCAGGTAGGGGCCTTGAGGGTAAAGGGGTAGGATTGACATTGGAGTCAAAAAGTCTTGATGGGGTACCTAGCACCTCTAGGAGGTTTATGGTTCTCACCTGCAATGAGGCCCAGAGCCCCTCAACCTTGCCCTATGCCTTGTACACCGACCTTCATTCTGCCCATTGTTTTCCAGGTGCCCCAGACCCTTGCTTGGCTTCCCTGCATTTTTCTCATCTCTCTCTTCTACCTGGAGTGTACTTTTCTTTTTCTGGATCCCCATTTCTTCTTCTATAATGAGTGATAGTAATTCTCTTTCTCTTCTAAGAGTCAGATGGTTATTGAAAGGTGCTGGGTCCATCAGCCTGGAGATGAGACTCTGGCAGAGAAAATCATCTTGACCAGAGGTACTCTGGAAGGCAGGACCACAAGCTCTGGGGAGAATGACAGGGAGAGAGATTTTAGTGAAGCGCTGATGAAAACCAGAGATAGAACATGCTGCTTTGGGAAATAGTGACGTCCCAATCCTAAAGGAGGTAAGAGGAACTGGAGAGTCCTTTGGCAAAGAAGCTAGAAGTGGAGAATAAACAGGGTTTGGACTTGAAAAGCCTAGCTCTAAGAAAGTCCTAACATCAGCTTTGGAATCACACAGATCTGTGTTCAAATCCAAGTGCCACCTCTTACCAACCAGATTACCATCACCTCTCTGAGCCTTGGTTGTCTTACAGGGAAGTAATCAAAGTGTCTGCCTTGTAGTGTTTTGGGGGGATTCATTAAAGTGGGACACAGGGAGGGCCAGCAGGCCACAGGTGCTCAGTACTTGGGAAATGCCCTGAAATCACCAGTTGGTTGGAAAGGATGTAAACAGAGTGTTGAGCACGATGGGGAGGACATTGGTGCTATCCGCAAGGCCAGAGTCTGCAAAGGCCACCTGCAGGCAGGAAGAGAGGTTGGAAGCAGGTAGTGTATTCTAAGCTGGGGAACAAAGGGGGAAAATGAATTGGCTATACATGCATTGATTTTTTTTCTGAACACTCTAATTCTGTTCCATTGCTTTTTAAATCTGTTTCCATCAATGCCATACTGTCTTGATTCTGGCTTTATACTGTCTTGAAATCTGGGGATATAAGTTCTAACTTTGTTCTTCTTTTGCAGTGTTGGATTATTACATATCCTTTGAATTTCCCTGACAAGTTTGGAATCAGCTTGTGTACATAACTGTATTAATAAATAAATTAATTTCTATTAAAGAGTTTTCTGGACTTTTGATTGGGATTGCATTGAACCTAAAAACTGAAGGGAAAGGATATTTTCACAATATCAGGTCTTCCAACTTATGAATGTGGTCTATCTCTCTATTTATATCTTTAATTTCTCTCAGCAGTATTCTGAAATCTTAAATGTGTGGTCTTGCACATCTTTCATTAGATTTGTTCCTAGTATTTTTATATTTTTGATGCTATTGTCAATGGTATTTTTTTATTGAGGTGTAATTAATATACAATAAAAAGCACAGAACTTAAGTGCTCAGATCAGTTCAATGAGCTTGGGCAGTTTTATGTATCTGTGTAACCACCACCTAAAAAAAGATATAGAATATTTCCATCATCCCAGAAAGGTTCCTGATGCTGCTTTCTGATCAATTCCTACTCCATCCCCACCCCACCCCACCCTCACCCCCACCCCCAGAGCAACTATTTCCTGATCTCTACCACTATAGATTTACTTTAGCTTATTTTGGATTTCATTTAAATGCATTCATGCAGTGTGTATTGTTTTGAGTCTTGCTTCTTTGACCTAACACAATGTATGTGAGATTAATCCATGTTGTTTTGTGTGTCAGAAGTTTATTCCTTTTATTACCGAGTATTCCATTATTTGAATAAACAACAATTCATCCATTTGGGTTGTTTCCAGTTTGTGGCTATTAGGAATAAGACTGCTATGAAAATCCTTATGCAAGTTTTTTTGTGTGTGTGTTTATGTTTTCATTTCTTTTGTGTAAACACCTAGGAGTGGAATTACTGAACATAGGGTAGATGTGTGTTTAATTTTATCATAAAATGCCAAACAGTTCTCAAAAGTGCTTGTACCATTGTACATTCCTACAAATTTTTTCTTCTATGGTTGATGATAAATAAAAATAGATCTTTACCTACACCAAGGTCAGGGAGATTATTTCTCCTGTATTTTCTAGAAGCTTTATGGTTTTAAGTTTTACACTTAGGTCTATGACCCATCTCCAATTTAACTTTTTATTCAGAGTGAGAAAGGATGAAGTTCATTTTTGCCACACAAATACCCACTTGTCTCAGCAACATAAAACAAAAACAAAAAAACTTTCCCAATTGGGGAGTGTTTAAGCCATTTATGTTTAATGTAATTGTTGATTTCATTAAGTGTAGCATATTGTTACTTTCCATTTGGCACCTTGTGGCTCCTTCCTTGCTGCCTTTTGAGTTAATTGACTAATTACTAGTATTCCATTTAGTTTTCTCAATTGCTTTCTTAGCTATCTTTCTTTTTTTAAGTTATTTTTAAAAATTGTTTTACAGCAAGACCTCTCAACCTTGGCACTATTGGCATTTTGGGTCAGATAATTCTAATGTGGGGTAGCTTTCTTTGTATTTGTCTTTGTTGTGGTTTGCTGATCTTGTTCTATATATTGACATTTTTCATGAAATTTGAGAAATTTATGGCCATTACTTCTCAAATTTTTTCTGCCCCATTCTCACTCTTGCCTTTTTCTAGCATCTAAGTAACATGTATTTTATACTGTTTTATAGTGTCCTACATGTCCCTGAGTTTCCATTAATACTTTAATTTGATTATTTTTCTTATCTTTTCTTCAGAACAGGTAATTTATACTGATCAAGTCTACTGACTCCTCCTTCTGCCATCTCCAAGTTCTGTTAAGCCAGTCCAGCAAATTTTTCATTCCAGTTACTTACTCTTCTGTTCTAGAATTTTCATTTTTAATTTTCCATTTCTCTGTAAATTCTCTGAAGTAACTTACCTGTTTTCATAAGATTATAGTTGCCTTTAATTCCTGGAACATATTTACTATTAGCTGCTATAGAATCTGCCAAGATCAGAATCTAGGTCTCTCAGAGTTGGTTACTGTTGACTGCTATCTCTTTTCTTGACTGTTGGTCATATTTTCCCGTTTCTTTGCATGTCTGATAATTTCTTGATTTTTATATTGTACTAGACAATGTGAGTGATATAAATATGTAAATATTCTGGATTCTGTTATCTCCTTCTGAAAAGTTTTCATTTTTGTTAGGAAGTAGGACAGTTATTAGCTAATAATCTTGATCTTATATTTGGGGTTGGGGTCAGGGAGGACATTTTATGGTTTGCTTCAGCTGACATGTTAAAAACCTAAGGTGTTCCCAAGCCCCTCTAGCTTGTTGGAGCTCAGCTTCCCAACCCCCCCTTCTTGTGGATCTTGTCAGCGCTTGGTTTTTGGCTCAGTTCGGCTGGGTCTGAAGTAGGCCTTAAATGCTTACTCTTAAGGAACAGCCTAAGTGTCTCAGCTGGATGTCTAGGTCATTAACAATATGATGATGGGGTTTCTCTACTCTGCTTGGGCCAGAACTTGATATTCTCCACCAATGCTCACTCTCCATTATTTCTGTTCCACTCAGTTCTGTAGCAGCCACTTTCTGTTAAGCCGTGGGTGTTTCACCCTCTGTATTAATAAATAAATTAATTTCTATTAAAGAGTTTTCTGGACTTTTGATTGGGATTGCATTGAACCTAAAAACTGAAGGGAAAGAATATTTTCACAATATCAGGTCTTCCAACTTATGAATGTGGTCTATCTCTCTATTTATATCTTTAATTTCTCTCAGCAGTATTCTGAAATCTTAAATGTGTGGTCTTGCACATCTTTCATTAGATTTGTTCCTAGTATTTTTATATTTTTGATGCTATTGTCAATGGTATTTTTTTATTGAGGTGTAATTAATATACAATAAAAAGCACAGAACTTAAGTGCTCAGATCAGTTCAATGAGCTTGGGCAGTTTTATGTATCTGTGTAACCACCACCTAAAAAAAGATATAGAATATTTCCATCATCCCAGAAAGGTTCCTGATGCTGCTTTCTGATCAATTCCTACTCCATCCCCACCCCACCCCACCCTCACCCCCACCCCCAGAGCAACTATTTCCTGATCTCTACCACTATAGATTTACTTTAGCTTATTTTGGATTTCATTTAAATGCATTCATGCAGTGTGTATTGTTTTGAGTCTTGCTTCTTTGACCTAACACAATGTATGTGAGATTAATCCATGTTGTTTTGTGTGTCAGAAGTTTATTCCTTTTATTACCGAGTATTCCATTATTTGAATAAACAACAATTCATCCATTTGGGTTGTTTCCAGTTTGTGGCTATTAGGAATAAGACTGCTATGAAAATCCTTATGCAAGTTTTTTTGTGTGTGTGTTTATGTTTTCATTTCTTTTGTGTAAACACCTAGGAGTGGAATTACTGAACATAGGGTAGATGTGTGTTTAATTTTATCATAAAATGCCAAACAGTTCTCAAAAGTGCTTGTACCATTGTACATTCCTACAAATTTTTTCTTCTATGGTTGATGATAAATAAAAATAGATCTTTACCTACACCAAGGTCAGGGAGATTATTTCTCCTGTATTTTCTAGAAGCTTTATGGTTTTAAGTTTTACACTTAGGTCTATGACCCATCTCCAATTTAACTTTTTATTCAGAGTGAGAAAGGATGAAGTTCATTTTTGCCACACAAATATCCACTTGTCTCAGCAACATAAAACAAAAACAAAAAAACTTTCCCAATTGGGGAGTGTTTAAGCCATTTATGTTTAATGTAATTGTTGATTTCATTAAGTGTAGCATATTGTTACTTTCCATTTGGCACCTTGTGGCTCCTTCCTTGCTGCCTTTTGAGTTAATTGACTAATTACTAGTATTCCATTTAGTTTTCTCAATTGCTTTCTTAGCTATCTTTCTTTTTTTAAGTTATTTTTAAAAATTGTTTTAGAGCAAGACCTCTCAACCTTGGCACTATTGGCATTTTGGGTCAGATAATTCTAATGTGGGGTAGCTTTCTTTGTATTTGTCTTTGTTGTGGTTTGCTGATCTTGTTCTATATATTGACATTTTTCATGAAATTTGAGAAATTTATGGCCATTACTTCTCAAATTTTTTCTGCCCCATTCTCACTCTTGCCTTTTTCTAGCATCTAAGTAACATGTATTTTATACTGTTTTATAGTGTCCTACATGTCCCTGAGTTTCCATTAATACTTTAATTTGATTATTTTTCTTATCTTTTCTTCAGAACAGGTAATTTATACTGATCAAGTCTACTGACTCCTCCTTCTGCCATCTCCAAGTTCTGTTAAGCCAGTCCAGCAAATTTTTCATTCCAGTTACTTACTCTTCTGTTCTAGAATTTTCATTTTTAATTTTCCATTTCTCTGTAAATTCTCTGAAGTAACTTACCTGTTTTCATAAGATTATAGTTGCCTTTAATTCCTGGAACATATTTACTATTAGCTGCTATAGAATCTGCCAAGATCAGAATCTAGGTCTCTCAGAGTTGGTTACTGTTGACTGCTATCTCTTTTCTTGACTGTTGGTCATATTTTCCCGTTTCTTTGCATGTCTGATAATTTCTTGATTTTTATATTGTACTAGACAATGTGAGTGATATAAATATGTAAATATTCTGGATTCTGTTATCTCCTTCTGAAAAGTTTTCATTTTTGTTAGGAAGTAGGACAGTTATTAGCTAATAATCTTGATCTTATATTTGGGGTTGGGGTCAGGGAGGACATTTTATGGTTTGCTTCAGCTGACATGTTAAAAACCTAAGGTGTTCCCAAGCCCCTCTAGCTTGTTGGAGCTCAGCTTCCCAACCCCCCCTTCTTGTGGATCTTGTCAGCGCTTGGTTTTTGGCTCAGTTCGGCTGGGTCTGAAGGCCTTAAATGCTTACTCTTAAGGAACAGCCTAAGTGTCTCAGCTGGATGTCTAGGTCATTAACAATATGATGATGGGGTTTCTCTACTCTGCTTGGGCCAGAACTTGATATTCTCCACCAATGCTCACTCTCCATTATTTCTGTTCCACTCAGTTCTGTAGCAGCCACTTTCTGTTAAGCCGTGGGTGTTTCACCCTGTGCACATTCAGTAAAGCCCTCAGCTAAGGGCTCATGAGGGGCCCACACGTAGACTTCTGAAGCTCCCCCCTT